GTTTAGCTTTTAAGTTATTAATTTAAGCAGAAGCTGTCATTTGAAAACACTTTTTTCAGCTTTTTTAAGCCAAAAGCTAAAAAACACTTTTTTAAAGCAATCCCAAACACTCCTTAAATAAAAGTTATACTGTTTGAGAAAAAAGTGATTTTGAAAACTAAAAGTGAGTAGTGTTTGGTAAAATAAGTGCTTTTTGTGTAATAGAAAAAGTAAAAGCACTTTTGACGCGGAAGCCGAGAAAAATAAAAGTTGTAGTGTTTGGGAAAATAAGTGTTTTTTAAAAGCGAAAAGCTGAGAAATGTTTTTTTAAAAACACTTGCAAACCAACCCTTAGTATTTCAGGTTGAGAAGGACCCTCGATTTTATTGTACAAACATTTTTCTAAAACTATCAAAAAAAGTCAAACAAGTCCATCTACTTTTACTAAAAAGTCAATTGAGTCCACATACTTTTTAATGAAACAATAAAGTCCACAAACTGTCAAAAATTAACCAAATCGTCCATTTGACCGGTCATCCCTAGGTTTTCCGGTTAAATCACCCAATTGGCTTTTTTATTACTCCCTCCGTCCCAATTTGTTTTGCAAAGTCAACAATTTTTAGTCAATCAATAATAAAAGTCAACCCTCCGTATAGATAATTAATTCAGTTTTTAATAATTAAAATTTACATATTCATAAACTACATTAAAATCTCTTCAAAGTTGTAAACTCCAAATTAGAACATAATTAAAAATTGACATCCAAATTAAGTGAACAAAACGAGACTGTTTGACTAAGAAAAGTCAAATTTGCATCTCTTTTTGGGACGAAGGTAGTAATATTTTCTACTTTTATAAATTTTTTTTAGAGAAAAGGTGCAAATAGACCCATGTACTAACCAAAAAAGGTCAAATAAGCCCTTATTTAGGAGGCTCTGTCCGGCCGTCGCCATTTGGGGTGGTTCCCGTTGAAATTTCTTGATGAAATTTTTTGAGCATCTTATTCATTAAGTCTAGTTTACTCATACTAAATTTCAGCTAAAACTTCAATCGGGAAGGCATTCAAATGAATTCTTGAAAATAACTGCGCAGTTAGAAGCGCAATAATCTTCAAGAATTCATTTGAATGCCTTCCCGATTGAAGTTTTAGCTGAAATTTGGTATGAGTAAACTAGACTTGATGAATAAGATGCTAAAAAAATTTCATCAAAAAATTCTACAAGGAACCACCCCAAATGATGGCGACCGAACAGAGTCTCCTAAATAAGGGCTTATTTGACCTTTTTTGGTTAGTACATGGGCCTATTTGCACCTTTTCCCATTTTTTTAATTCGTTTTTCTTTCATCGGTTCCCTGCGTCTACTACAACTCTAGCAGGAGTGGAGCTTTGTTTACAATAGTCATTCAATCTGCTCCCCTAGGCCGATCCACCAGTTTATGGAGGCTGGGGCGGTGGCGGTTATGGAGGTAGCAGTGGCGGTTATGGAGGTAGCAGTGGCTATGGAAGTCGGGGCAGTTGTTGCAGGTCACTCCAATGGAGAAGATGAAGGTGAAGCCGCGGAGGTGGGCGAGGCGAAGGTGGAAGCGAAGGTGGTTGGAGGTCGCTTCAATAGAGGGGGCGTAGGTGGAGGCCGCAGGCGGTACGTGGTGGTGGTGATAGAGGACAGGGCGGTGGAGGTCGCGGCGGTGGTTTGGAGGTGGGGCGGCTGACATGGAGAAAGTGGTAGAATGAGACCGCAAGTGGAGGTGGCCAGGTGGGGCCTGAAACAAGAAAGCATGGAATGGAAGCGGAGAAAGGCTGGGAAGGGAGTGGAGGAGAAAGAAGAGAAAAAGAATAAAAAAAAGAAATAAAAAGGAAAAGAATATATAAAAAATTGGAAAACAATAAATAAAAAAACAGCTGGACAATCTGACCGGGAAACCGGGTGATTACCGGTCAAATGGACTATTTGATTAATTTTTTATACTTCATGGACTCAATTGATTCATTAAAAAGTATGTGGACTCAATTGACTTTTTAGTAAAAGTAGATGGACTTATTTGACAGTTTTCCCTATATTATATTATATTATATAGGAGGCTCTGTCCGGTCGTCGCGATTTGGGGTGATTCCTGGTGGGATTTTTTGATGACATTTTTTGAACATCTTATTCATCAAGTCTAGTTTACTCATACCAAATTTCAGCTAAAACTTCAGTCGGGAACGTATTCAAATTTTATTCTTGAAGATAACTGCGCATTTAACTGCACAGTTATCTGACCTGGATTAAATGTATATGTGTGCAGTGTGCTGACCTGGTTTAGTGATGTGGCCTGGTGGAAATGAAATTTAGCTAGAGTGCTGACATGACATGATGAAAAGGCAAAAGTACCCCTAATTGGGAAATAAGATTAGAAAGTACACCTCCCCGGGAAATAATACCACTATTTATATACTCCGTATTTACTAACCAAAATCCGTAAGTCCTGTAGTCTCATCTTCACCGCTCCTAGGCCGTCTACAACTCTACATCTAGGCATGGCAATGGGTCGAGGCAGGTACTGCAAGACCCGGACCCGCCCCGTGACTTCACTGGGTGGACCCGCCCCGCCCCGTGACCCGCACAGATCCAAATTGTTGACCCATGCCCCGCCCCGCCCCGCCGTAATCAAATTAGCCATTATGATTTTCTATTTGTGTGAAGTTGTTATCACTTGAATCTACACAAAGTTTATCTTTAAACAATTATTAAAAAGATAATATATTAAATTAAAGTCAAAATACGATAAAATTTTCAACAATTAAGAAAAAAGTACTTAGACTTGAATGATTAATTTATTTATATTAATAATACAATATATAAATTAAAATTCTATATTTAAAAAAGACATTAATAATTCATCGTCCATCTCATTCAAATATAAATATTTATATATTATAAGACGAAAGAGTTTATGATTTATTATATGCACGCATGTGTATGTAGAAGTAGTATATTTGTAGTATTTTTTTCTAAAAATATGTATACTTATACATTGAGCGGGGTGGGTCAGGGCAGGGCGGCACAAGTCAATACTAATACCCTGACCCACCCCATTGTATTGGCGGGGCGGGGCGGACCCGCCCCATTTGCAAGACGGGGCGGATTCGCCCCAAATGTCTCGGGCCAAGGCGGGCGGTTTTTTTACATGCCTATCTGCATCTAATGAAAAGCATTCCATTATTTTAAATGTATAGATGTATTCGGAAAAGATCTTGTCGAGATGTCCAGACAAGATCCTACGTCCGGACTCCGCCATTTGGGGTGGTTCTCGATAACATTTTTGATTAACTTTTTTGAGAATATTCTCCATCAAGTCTAGTTTATCCACATCAAATTTCACCTTAAAATTCAACCGGGAAAGCAGCCAAATAAAATTTTGAAAATAAGTGCATTTATATGTATATTTTGGTGCAAATATCTTCAAAATTTTATTTGAATGCCCTCCCGATTGTATTTTAAGCTGAAATCTGGTGCAGATAAACTAGACTTGATGAAGAACATGCTAAAAAATTGAATCAAAAAATTCTCTCGGGAATCGTCCCAAAGGTGACGTTTAAAAGTATTTATTTAAAAATGAAGATCTTAAAACTAAGTATGAAGTCAAATATTAGGGCTCGTTTGGTATGATGTAAAGTAAACACTTTGCATGCAAAGTGTGGGGAAGTAAATATTTTACACCGTTTGTTTTAAATATTTAATGTAAACTGTAGGACACTTTTTTTACAACAATTTACACTGTACCATGTAAACCGATACTTTAGCCGTGGAGGGAGAGTGATAAACTACTTTACATCCGCTAATTTGGAGAAGAATGTATCGATCTATTGTGTAAACCTATACTTTAGCCGCTGGAACATACGGCAGTAATGGAAAAATCTCTTGCAAAAGCCTAGTTTTTTCTCCAAGACTCCATAAAAACAAAATCATCAACCATCATCCGCAAAACTCTTCTCCAGGCTATGAGGCTATCTGCGTTTAATACTTTAGGTATAGCGATTTTTTGAGTCTCTTTTTTTACATCATGATTTCATATTTTTCTATCATAAAAACAAAACCATCATCCGCAAGTCTCACCATTATCAACTCATCAACCATCATAGGAAAAATCTCACCATCATCATCAAACCTCGGCGGCACAATCCATGATTAGCTTCTATACCCTAGTTTATTTTATACTCCGTATTATATATAAACGATGTATAAAGTTTTACCTACCAAACGATGTATTTCTATTTCATTTTTCACATGTAAACTATTTTACCATCCTAAACTTTATACGCAATCATTTTACATGTAAAGTTTTAATGTGTAAACTACCAAACGGGCCCTTATAAAGTAACTATTTATCCTTATACTACGTATATTTAGTGACAAGTAAGATGAATATATTGTGCATTGTTTTTACCATCACTTAATGTATTCCACGATCTTTTAAGAATATGTTGATATTTTGATAAAGGTTTAAATATGTTTCTAGTCTTTATAATTATAGTACATTTTATTTTACATTTATGCACTTTTTTTGTTTTTCATCCATGAAATTTATAATGATTTTCTTTGTAGTTTATCACCAATGATAACAACCTTCTTTTGATCATGAAACAACCTCAACTAATGGATTTCCTTTAATTCTTTGTCATTGTATTCAAGAAAGCATTTAATTTTTGATTTTTTACCATTTTGAAAGTTTTTAATACATATTTTAAAATATATGAATACTTAGTTGATGTTTTAGCTCTCATATTAGGCTAAAAAAAATATAAAGGATAAATTTAAAAGTTTCTAATAGATTTATGCTGTCATCAATAATTTTTTTGTGCTCTCATATTAGTTTCTAATTTGTTTTTGTCCATTGTATAAAAAAAGCAATAATTTTTTTTGTAGAGTGATTTCAGTGTTACGTTAGAGATGGACTAAAAATAAAAAATACATATTACAAGCATGAGAAATAAAAAAAATATGAGAGTATACTTTACAAGGTTCTAAACTAAAGTGCGTCACGTTACAAAGACTAAAAGGTTTTTTTTTGCCAGAAGAAATTTTAACTCTCATTAATAGAATCAATGTGACAATGTTCAAAACATAAGTGAGAAAAACAGGAGGAAAATCATTCCAAAAAATACAACCAGACATAGAACAAGCCGCCTGAGCCAATACATGAGCCGCCCTGATCGCTGATCGTCTAACGTGAGAGAAAGAAATCTCGGTGAAGCAAGAACATAATCCTCTAATATCGCCCGCCATAATCTCGACCAAAGATATGGTTGAACCACCCCTAATCTCCGATATTGCTTTGGATGCATCCGATTCGACCTCAATAAAATCTCACCCGTTTTCTTTTACCCAACCGAGGGCTTCCCGAATACCAACTAACTCCGCTTCCCACGGTGATAGCCGTCCAATCCACGGCTTGGAAGCCCCTGCAATAAAGACCCCCGCTTCGTTCTGGAGCAGCCAGCCCAGCCCGATACCATCTTCTTTAACCGCCGCATCGACGTCTAACTTCAGCCTACCCGGTAAAGGTCTTTTCCAGGAATTTGCAGTTGCTGCAACTTTAGTGTACTGCTCCCGACCCTACTGCTGCGCCAAGCCCCAACCATCAACGAAAAACTGAGACTTTAACATCACTGTCTTTGCATCCGAAACCACCCCGTTCCACACTCTACTATTCCTTTCACACCATAAACCCCAGCATTTCCAAACCAGTTTGCAGAGATCCCCCTCCCTCTTAGTCTGGAACTCGAGTTGCAGTTGATCCAAAAAACAAGTCGCCCCTACCGATGCCCAGTTCCACCGAATTGCTCGCCATGCCGCTCTAGCTACTGAACAAGTCATGAACAAATGAAGCAACAACTCGTCAACCTCACCACACAACCCACACTTCTCGGCACAATTCACTCTCCTCAACCTTAAATTTACTGTCGTAGGAAGAAAATCAGAGCATAATTGCGAGAAAAAGCTTTTAATTGGGGGGGGGGGGGGGGGGAGTTTCCACCCCCACATCACCGTCCAGCCCATCCAACTACCTTCCGCTGCTTCCATGACCAAGAACCTGTAACAACTACGGACAGTAAAGCGCCCGGAGTCCTACCATTTCCAGCAAACTTTATCTGGTAATTGTCTAAAGCTAATAGGAATACCACAGATTAATTTGACATCCCGTTGAACAAAAAGATCATGAAGCAAATCCAAATCCCACTTAAGTCCAGCCTCACACCGGAGACTCTCCACCGTAGCCCGTTCCAATCCATGGATGGGCTCCGAAATCACCAAGGGGCAGCTTTTGTCCAGGAGCCAAGGATCACGCCAGATATTAACATCCTTTCCTTGACCAACACACCAATATAATAGCTACTCCGGATAATGTCCAGAGTTTGAAAAATATTCTGCCAAATAAAAGATGGATTACATCCCAGCTTAGCTGATAAAAAATTCCCATCCCGGAAATACCGTGCTTTAAAAACTTTCACGATCAAAGTTTCCGGCTCAGAAAAAATCCGCCAGGCCTGTTTAGCAAGCATAGATAAATTAATTTCACGCAAACTTCTAAAACCCATTCCACCTAAATTTTTAGGATGACACAAAAAATCTCAATTACTCCATCTGATTCCTTTATTCGACTTCCCTTGACACCAAAAGCCATTTAAAAGAGTCTCAATCTCCTTACATAATTCTTTCGCGAGAAGAAAGACATTCATTGCATAAGTAGGCATTGCCTGAATGACAAATTTTATCAAAGCCTCCCTTCCAGCTCTCAACAAGAAACGGTTATTTTTTAATACGGTTCGCCATTCTCTGTCTAAGATAAGGTAAAATGGCTCTCTTATTTCTCCCAATTAAAGCTGGCAGGCCCAAGTAAAATTCTTCACTACCCACCAAACTCACACCCAACAACTCCTTCGAACCTTCCTGATATTCCACCGAGACATTTGGACTAAAGAAAATCCTTTATTTAGTTAAATTAATTACCTGACCTGAAGCTTGGGCATATTCACATAAAATCTCCTTTACACTAGACACCTCACCATGAGTAGCTTTAAAAAAGAGCAGGCTATCATTAGCAAACAATAAATGGGAGATTTTTGGAGCACCCCGTGCCACTGCAACTCCATGAACCCAACCGGCCTCCTCATATTTCTTCATAAGAACACTCAAGCCTTCTGCAATTAAAATGAATAAGTAAGAGGATAAAGGGTCTCCCTGTCTCAACCCTCATGTAGGGATAATAGGGCCCAACTCAATATCATCAAAAGGTATGGAGTAAGAGACCGAAGTAACACATTCCATTACCAAACGAATCCACCGATCCTCAACCCCCAAATGATGTAGCATCCCTTCTACAAGAGGTCATTCCACCCTGCCATACGCCTTACTCACATCCAATTTAAGACTAACAAAACGTTCTTTTCCTTGATTTTTTTCTTTTCAAAAAATGTTGTGTTTCAAAGGCTACCATGATATTATCAATTATAGATCTGCCCGGTATGAATGCACTCTGTGCTCCGAAATGCATAAATGCAAAACTGATTTCAGCCTATTAGCCATCACCTTAGAAAAAATCTTATAAATGACATTACAAAGAGCAATAGGCCTCTGTTGGAGGTATTGGTCCTACCAAGGCCTCCCTTCCACTTTATTAGCTGAGGCTTGCACCCTATTAATTTACTCCCTCTTTGACACCTTTACCTTGGTATATTACCTGATCAATAATATACCTGGAATCTGCCTCATTGCTTCTGTCAGCTGCACCCTCTCTTTTGGCTTGACTTATACCCGTGAGTGTCCTTGGCCATCTTGTGACTGTCCTTGTTGTCTGCCCATAGGCTGGCAGCCTACTATAAGTCAACCCCCCCTTTCTTTGTGAATTAAGCCTGCGAGAGTAACACTTCTATTGAGAGCAGTGTCTTCCTTCTTCCTCTTTGTGAGTTCCTTTGTGGTTAGAAGAAGAGAGTTGAGAGATAGGTGTGCTATAGCCTCCTCCTAGTGTGGTGTGTGAGAGTATGTGTTGAAAGACCTGAGCCGGAGACGGATATACGATCCTTACAGTGGTATCAGAGACAGGTTCGCCGTCTGCCGCCGTCTGCCGCTGCCGTCCGCCGCCGCCATCGTTTGGAGCTCGCCGATGGTCGCTGGAACTGCCTGGTCGTCCGCACGAGCTCGCTGAGGTCCCTGCTTGCTGAAATCGAGCTCGCCGGAGGTTAAAGCTCCATCATCGCCGCCTGGAACCTCCGCCGTCGCTTGACTGGCGGTGGTCGCTCGCTTCTGGGAACGAAGCTCGCCGTCGCCGAAGATAGATCCGCCTGTGAGGTCCGCCGTCGAAATCGACTGTGTGCTCGCCGGAATCTGGAGCCCCGCCATCGCCGCCGGGAAGCTTCGTCGTCTGCCATCTGTTGTCCGGGAAGCTTCGCCGTCCATCACTGGAGCCGAGCCTGGCAGCTCGCCCGATTTCCTTCAACGCCGGAGAAGAACACCGCCGCAGGAGGTTGGTCGCCGAGGACATCCGCTGAAGCCTCCATCGCTGGTGTCTGCCCGGCTTCGTTCTTCGCTGGTCTGCAAGTAGCAGGGAGCTGGCCACTTTTGCGTAGAAGGAACGCAGAAGACCGTGGCTGACTTGGACAGCTGCTGTGACTTTTTTGGGCTTCTGGAATGGACCGGTTTGCTGGGATGTTCTAGGTGGGCTTTAGTTTGCTGCTGGGCTGAGCTGGGAGCTGAGATTAGCTTGGACCGGGCTGGAGCAGGTTTGCTGACCTGGACTGCTGAGGAGCTAGACCACCAGTCAACTGCCAGTCAATTCCGGTCAACGATGGTCAACGCCGGTCAACGGAAGTCAACCCCTACAGAAAAATCCCAATTTTTTAAATTGGGTAGGTAAGGACGAAACGCTCTCCTAGGGTTTCGCGAAGGTAAGTTTTCAGTAAACTTACTATTTATAGCATTTCGGCTTTAATTTAATTTAATTTATTCCCCCTCCCCGCGGGCCGCCGGTTGATTTAATCCCGGCCGCCAACCCCCCAGGTACGTACTGAACTTTCTCCTTTGTGGTAGACTGTTTTAGTTGATTAATTAAATTGCTAAGTGATATTTAATTTAATTGTTATGCGTAGGGGTGGTTCTTTGGGTGATAGGGGTAGAATTAATTAATTTTAATTTGCTGCCGGAATTGTTTAATTGCCAAAATGTCCATTTTTGATATGTGTTGCATGCTGCCCGGGGTTATTAAAGTGAATACTTTATAACCCGGGTTGGATTATTTTCAGTCATTTCTGTCTGTTTAGCTTTGTGTTCCTTTGTGGTTGATACCATGGCTGCGAATCAGTATGGTATGCTTCCATTTAATGGAAAAACAGATTTTGATATTTGGAAACAGAAAATTAAGTGTGTGTTAATACAGCAAAAAGTTTTCAGAGCTATCACTGGTATTTTCCTTGAATCAGAAGATAAGGCTAAGCAAACTGAAATGAACGAAACTGCTTGTTCTACTATTTACTTGAATCTGTCTGATTCTGTGCTTAGGAAAGTGGGTATTCTTGAGTCTGCTAAGGAGTTGTGGGAGAAATTGGATAGTCTCTATACTGATACCTCTTTGCCCGGGAAGTTGTTTTTACTAGAGAAATTCTTTAGGTTTAGGCTTGACTTGACTAAGGATATAGATGAGAACCTGGATGTGTTTAATAAACTGATACAGAATATCAAAAAGGCTGGTGATAAACACATAGATGATTACACTCCCATAGTATTACTTAATGTCATTCCCGACTCTTATAATGATGTTAAGTCCGCTATTAAGTACGGTAGGGATGAGATTTCGTTAGACATTGTTGTGAATGGGTTAAGGAGTAAGGAATTAGACCTGAAGCATGCTAGGGGTAGTGCTAGTCAGTCCAGGGACTCCGGTGAGGCTATGTTTGTTAGGGGTAGATCTAAGGGTAGGTCTAAGAATCCTAAGCAAAATAGTCAGGGTAAGAACACTAGTCAGCCTGGGAGGAAGAGGAGCAAATCTAGGAAGAGAGTGTGTTACAATTGTGGTAACACTGGCCATTTCATTAAGGACTGCCCCCACCCTAAGAAGACGGAGCATGCTAGTGTAGCTGTTGATAAATGTGACCTTGGTGATATCTTGATGGTTTGTGACCATGTTAATTCTGTGAGAAATTCCTTGTCTAAGCATGAATGGTTGATTGACTCTGGTTGTACCTATCACATGTCCCCCTTTAGAGATTTGTTTTCTACATATGAATTATGTGATAGTGGCTACGTTTCCTTAGCTGATAATAAGAGATGTGATGTGTGTTTTCTCGCACTTAAAATAGATCGTAATATAGTGGTGTAAGTACGAGTATCGTCTCCACAGGGACGGACAAAAGGGAATTAAGAATTAACTAAATTCAGCGATTAAAAAGAAATAAAATAAATAAATGCGTCGTGCGAGATTGATTGGTTTGAAAATTAAACTAATGCGGTTGAGCGAATAAAAAATAAATGTGGTTTCTAATTAATTAATGACGAAGGGAATAGGGATTGATTCCGGGGTAACCAGATTTCTGGCAGATCAGGCCTAATTACATGAAATTGATTTAATTGAGCCTAGCTAATCATTACTAAGTTCTTACCGCTCTCGCGGCATAGAGTACAATAATTTAGGGGACCGGGCTGATCTCTCATGCGACAGGATCCTAAATTATTGCCAAGACGAGCGAGCTTACGGCTCCTTAATCGCTACTAATCTCTTAGCGAACGATTAAGTGTGTGTGAATGTGTCCTAGAATAAACTAGATCTCTCTTAATTTATTCTACAAGCAATTGTAATTCTAGCCGCGGTTCCAGGTTACAAAAGATATCAGTTAAATTATTCAAACACAAATTAAATGGACAAGAATCTAGCCATCAATCATGATTAACCCCTTCATCAATCCCAAATCCCTAATTAAACTACTCACAATTCATAATTGAAGAATCAACAGAATTGAGATGAATAGAAATAATTGTCATTAATTAAAAAGATGAACTTACAAATAATCCCAGGGTCTTGGAGTAAACAATCGTAAAAACGCAAGTAAATTCGTCCCTAGGCCTCTCCGTAATGTTCGTAACCCTCAAAAAGGGTTAGGGAGGCCTTATTTATAGAAAAAGGGGGAAAAATATGAATTCGGGCCGATTTGGGATTCAAGTTTGCGTCACCCGGTGCTACGCACGGCGTGCGTCCCCCCTACGCACGGCCGTGCGTAGCTGGCAGTAGCTACCTTGCTTTTCTCGCCTCAGACGCACGGTCGTGCGTTCCCCTACGCACGGAGTGCGTAAAACTTCCGAATTTGACAAAAC